AACACTTTGGAAAAGGCATAACCTTTCAAACGGTCACAATCCTTTAGAAAGGACACAACTTTCATAAAGTTCACAACCCTTCGGCATAGTCACAACTCATCAGGAGAGTCACAACCCTTCATTTCCTGTTCACACCTTTAAAACCCAACAAGAAATCATTTTCATGAGGACATATTAACATCAAAATGTTTGCATGTGAACTAAAAATACAAACTATAAAAAAGGCGAAGAGGTAAACATGCAAATTATAAATACGTAAAATCTAATGTGATCAATGAGAATTGAACCAGCTTGAATGTTTGGGTGCATTTTGAATGCCTTGAAATACTGATCTAACCTTTTACATTTTGTTAAGATATTGTATAAATATGCCCTTTAACTTGACTTCAACTGACATATACATCTTTTATTTTTGAGTATGCGTAAGTAAGCACTTAATTTGTATAAAATTGAACGAATAGACACATTCATCCTAAGTGGTGTCCTATACGACAATTTTGTGTCCTATGTGGCGTCCTACGTGTATTATGCTACGTAGACATGTATGATTACTTATTCAATTTTATACCAGTTTAAGTGTTTACTTGTGCACATTCAAAGTTGGATGGCATAGATGTCGGCCAACTACAATAAATTAAATGACAGATTTATGTATTATGCCTTTTATATATATATATACACGCAAACATAGAAAATCTACCATATATATATAAAGTATAATGTTTTGCTGAGGCCAGTGGTGGATCTAGATTTTTAAAGTCATGGGTGCTCCCTTACTACCAATCACAAAATAGAATGAGCAAATTTATAACTCGTAAAAAGACAATCATATTTAAGCACAATATATGGCAGAAAAACAGCTAGAGAAAGTAAGAAGAGAAGAAGAACTTGTCTTTAAAATTTTAAGAAATGCCAACACAAATGCACATAAACCTTAAGCATCCACTTATGACCACTGAGCCAAATCACTACTTATTACATGGGTATTCACTTTTTAATTTTATCTCATTACTTCAAAATTTTATATAAATATAGTTAGTTTAATACAAGCTTAATGGTGCTGGAGCACCCGAAAAGGGCAATGTAGATCCGTCCCTGGCTGAGGTGATATTATACGAGTAAACATCCTCTTGCTCCCTACATCCGTTCCTTATTATGAAGTTTCAAACTACATCGATAAAACTCTATAATAATGCCTTAGAAGTTTCTTTCGGTAGCCAAACTATATAGTAGTACACAAAGACACCTATGTATCGACTAGAAGAGGCTCAATTGGTCACTAACACAATAAAAATGTTTTACATTTGTATGTCTAAATTTGAGGGGATATATATGGCGTACAAGTCCTATCAAAGAAGGAGGTTATTCCTGAAAGTACCATATAACCAATAAGCCATCGTTGATATTGACTATAGAATTTTAGAAGGTTAAAGCAATCCAAATAATTAAATTTATAAGAACTAAACAATTAAATATAGACATATGTGTTATATAGTATACTACTTAATTTTATTAACATAACAAGTGGGATAATCTTGTGTTTTTCTAATACAAGAAAATAATGCCCTATGACAAATTCATTTTTGTCTAAAATCAATGAACCATGTGGAAGCTAGCAAATGTAAATCTCGAAAGATCATGAGTACAAAGACAAGTGAGAAATATGTCAAAAGAGACACAAATATTTAACGTGGTTCGATCAATCGAACTCATCCATAAAAATAGATGACAAATCCACTATATATATGAGAGTGTACAAAAATATCGAGAGAAAATAATCTCAGACAATTCTTTTAGAATAAAAAGAGGTACACACGTAACACCTGTGTCTCAAAAATCCCCCTTCTATAAAAACTCTAAAAGCCTTTAGACTAGTCATTTTCCTTTTTGAAAAACCATAGACGGAAAGCATTACATACTAATGCTCATGTAAGCAAATATAATTAGCAGTTTTATCTTTTATAAAGTTGGATTAATTAATAGAAATAAAAATTGAATAATCATCAGTTTCATGTCGTCACTTGTCAGCTCGACACATGGGGTACTACATGTTCCTAGTGTTACGTTGATGTACCGGAGATTTGTTTTTGTAATTCTTTACTATTTTTTGTTTTATATCTTTTTTATAAAATATTTTTATTATTACACATAAGAAATTGTTTTCACGAGGAACATATTAAGAGTAAAATATTTTTGAAACAGATAAAATCGAAATCGATTTATATGAGCTTCCCAAAAGAAAAAATCCAGTAGCGGTTATTTTTGTTCATAAGTTTGTTTGCTTAAGCTTATAGTAACTTATACCTGATCAGTTTTATAATAGATCTTAAGTGTTTCCATTTTGAACTAATACGTTGTTAAATGTTATTGAATTATGCTTATTGTTATTATGTTACGTATAAGATATGATAGTCCGTGTAAAAATTCACAGGGTTTTTTATTTGGACATTATTGTTTAATATGTATTTGCTTTAAAATTATTTTTTTGCACATTCATCAATTTGGAACAATTCCATACATGTGATCCTTCAGATAAATTATCTAAAATTTCATCCGGTTAAACTTTGATCATATGTGTCTGCACTTTATTAATATTAAATTTGAGAGTTTGCTTAGTCGAGTGAGTCCACTAATTGTTGGCCACAGCCACCTAGTTAGGTCATGACAACCTAATATATTATGTATCGCGTAGGATATATGGATTCCTTTTGTCTCAATCTTTGAAAAATAGTCAGTATTACTATTACAAGTGATGAAATCAAAAAAATTATTCACGAGATTCAAAAAATAGAGATGTAAATATGTAGATAAGTACGTAAACAATAATGCAATTGTCAAGTAGTGAGAATCGGACCTTAAACGTTGGAGTGCATGAATGTTTGGACTACTCTGAGCTAACCTTTTACATCTTATTTAGGTGATTAAGAATTTATATATGTACATAAATATAGAAAACCTATAATATATATATATTATATAATTTTTGTCCAAGGAATGGTGAATATTCTTCCCCCTCCTAGATTTGTTCCTGATTATGAAATTTCATTTTTCATAGATGGAACTCGATGATAATGTGTTAGAGTTTCTTTATATAGCCAAACTATATTGTAGTATACACAAAGACACATATCTATCGACTACTAGAGTCTAGAAGAAGCTCAATTGGTTACTAACACAATTAAAATATTTTACTTTTGTATGCCTAAATTTGAGAGGATATGGCATACAAGTCCTATCAAAGAAGGAGTTTATTCCTGAAAGTACCATATAACCAATAAGCCATCGTTGATATTGACTATAGAATTTTAGAAGGTTAAGAGAAATCCAAATAATTAAATTTATAAGAACTAAACAATTAAATATAGACACATGTGCTATATAGTAGTATACTACTTAATTTAATTAACATAACAAGTGGGATAATCTTGTGTTTTTTTAATACAAGAAAATAATGCCCTATGACAAATTCATTTTTGTCTAAAATCAATGAACAATGTCAATTGAGGGTCCAATAAGATATTTGCCTTTTTACTAGTCCAACATTTTGGCTCTCTCTTGACGTGGAATTAAAATGAAGAATATTATACAAGACAAGTTATGTTATAATTGTTAAGAACTTACAAGTGTAACTTCCTATATTACTATCAATTCATGTATTGATTAACCTAAAAGATAAAACGTAAGTGGAAAATTTTACTTACAAGTTTCGTGTTTAAGTTTTCTTTGTTCAAGGGAAATATCTTACTTGTCTGCAGACAAATAAAACCAAGGTAGTGATGACCTAAATGCCAAGTATCAACATTGAGATTTGATATTTTAAGATGAAAGGGATGAGTTTGAATATTGAAAACTTAACATACATAGAACTCTCATTTTCAATATCATGTATGTTTCTTGGTTTGAAGAATGTAGCATGTACCCAAACCTTATTTCTATATAGTGAAAATAGGAAGGTTGTGTTAGGATCGAAATAATCAAGTGTCATGTGGAAGCTAGCAAATGTAAATCTCGAAAGACCATGAGTATAAAAACAAATGAGAAATATGTCAAAAGAGACACAATTATTTAACGTGGTTCGATCAATCAAACTTATCCACAAAAATAGATGACAAATCCACTCTATATATGAGAGTGTACAAAAATATCGAGAGAAAATAATCTCAGACAATTCTTTTAGAATAAAAAGAGGTACACACGTAACACTTGTGTCTCAAAAATCCCCCTTCTATACAAAACTCTAAAAGCCTTTAGGACTATATTGTGATTTGTGAATGTCACCAAGTTAGAAGGATCGTGTATTTATTTATACAGTCATATATTTTTTCCTACACGAAAAAAGACTAGTCATTTTCCTTTTTGAAAAATCATATATGGAAAGCATTACATACTAATTCGAAAGAAAAAAAGAATAACAACAGCAAAAGAATATGATATTCGAAGTACAAAAAAAACAGTATATAGAAATAAAAATTAAAAAAATAAATAATAAGAAACTAGGATAACAATAAATGAAAGAAAAGAACAAATACAATACTTCAAATTGTCACCAAGCCTATCCCATCACTCACCTCCACACCTCCCATAGTATTTATCTCCACCAATCATATCATAATTCTAACGAAACGTAAAAGAAAGAATTTAATGGAAGTCATGGTCCAAATGTCGACTACAAAATAGTGAACTACTGGAAAAATGCGGCTCACAAATAGAAAACTACAACTTTCATTTTAAACATCAATAATTTTATCTTATTAATATTCAAAATTCCTAATTTCCAATTTTCAAATACAACACGTGGTTATTGAAACCCTCTATTTCCCTCTCAAAAACTTAGAACTTTTCTCCATTTAGAAGTTTCAAGGAAAGCTCAAATTCCCAACAAACTATATTTTAATCATTACAAATAATTTAATTTCCCACCCGTGCATGAACCAAATTTCCATATAAATAACCTCATTCATCGCTTTAATCCAGAAAAAAAAAAAATCTCATAACTTCCTCTGTTTTCTCTTTATTTTGCTATATTTGTACTAAATTCGCTTCGATATAAAAAATCATAACCAAAATTCAGAAGTTTATTGAACGATGTATTCGAATTGTGAACTAGAAAATGATTTTTCGATACTCGAATCAATTAGAAGACACTTACTTGAAGATTGGGAAGCTCCATTAACGAGCTCTGAAAACTCAACATCCTCAGAGTTCAGCCGGAGCAACAGCATTGAATCCAATGTGTTTACTAATTCATTTGATTATACACCTGAAATTTTTCATAATGAAGGATTTGGATTTGGATTTGAATTCGAGACGTCTGATTTTGTAATCCCTAATGTCAAATTGGAGTCACAAATGTCACCTGAAATATGGAATTTACCGGAATTTGTGGCTCCGTTAGAGACGGCGGCGGAGGTGAAAGTGGAATCACCGGTTGCGATGATTTCTACAACGACGAAGCCAAAGGGAAAACATTATAGAGGTGTGAGAGTGAGGCCGTGGGGGAAATTCGCGGCGGAAATTAGAGATCCGGCGAAAAATGGAGCAAGAGTTTGGCTCGGTACATATGAGACGGCGGAGGATGCGGCATTGGCTTACGACAAGGCGGCGTTTCGCATGCGGGGATCACGTGCACTGCTGAATTTTCCGTTGAGGATTAATTCCGGTGAGCCGGAGCCTGTTAGAGTCGGTTCGAAGAGATCGTCAATGTCGCCGGAGCATTGTTCATCGGCGTCGTCGACGAAGAGGAGGAAGAAGGTTACTCAGGGAACCGAACAATAAGTCCCAAAAGTGGGCCCTGTATAGTAATAAAAAATAGAATTATCCGACGGAAATTGTTTTTTTTTAATTATTATTTTGGGTGAAGTAATGAATTTGTTCTTTCTTTAATTTTTCGGCTGTGGTTGATGAAATTAACGATAATCAAATAATTATCGAAAAAATAATAATAAGACAATAATGTGATATTCTTAAAATAAAAATAAAAAGGTCAAACTTACGTATGACATCCAACTAGTAGAATTTTATTACAAACCGTATTATAGTGACGGGGTTCACATCTATATGTATATCTAGTATATTATATCTATACGTATAAGGTGATGCTTAAGCTTATGTATTTTATGATTTATGAATTTATTAAAACTATCCACTTATATATTAGTCAAAAGATGATCTAATAATAAAACGTTTGAAAGAAAGAACTACTTATTTTTCTTTATGTCAGATGGCTTGTTGAAAAATTTAGACTAACGTAAATTATTTTGCGTTTCAAACTTCGCCTTCGACCCATCGCCGGCCCCTCCCCCTTCCCTATCCACTTACCCTCCCCCAAACTCAAAACCTATTCAACCTAAACATTTTTAAAACAAGTGTTCTCTTTCCTTTTCTAAATAAGGTAAGAGAAATATAATATCAAAAGTTAGTGGTTATCGTCACGCGCGAGTATGCAATTTTTTTTAAATTTTTCTTTATTTTATCAATCTTCCGACTAATGCATTTTTGGTTGGGGACTTTCAAGTTTGGAATTTAGTGTCTAATTTTATTACCAAAGTGAGAAATATGTACTAATCAAGAAGAAGAAAAAACTATAGTTGAACATCAAGCACTAAACAAGTACTCCCTCCGTCCAAATTAATTGTTAAACTTTATTTTCTGAAAGTAAATAATTAATTTGGGACGGAGGGATTATTTATTTATATTAAGTGTTTATAGTAAATTATACAAATTTACTATAATTAAATAATTTTAAAATATATATTAATTATTTATAATTAAATATTAAAAATTTATGGACAAATACATGAATGAACTTATTGGCCTTGTTAATGTAAATATTTTATTCCTAAAAATTCAATAGCAACCACCTATCTATTCTTTATCAAATTTATTACTGTTTTGAATAAACTTTTGACTTTTTAGAGCTGTTAAATATATACTAGATAAAGGTAATTCAAGGGCGTTGATACTATAAAAGTTACCTTTTACCTAGAATACAACTTAGAACTTCAGGTGATTATTGTCATGCTAAGACAAATTTTGTCTAACAATTTGAAATTTTAGCGCCTCGTCTAAATTTGACTATTAAAATCTAGCCAAGAATTTGTTTACCAAAAAAATATACAGTTAAATTTGTTATAAGATCAAAGAATATTTGTGTTTCAATATATGAAAATATAGAAAAGTAAAAATATAGAGAATTTGGAGTATATAGGAATATCAAAGTAATGTTTTTGAATTCCCTTTTAAAATTTATACGTAGCAGAGATAACAAATCAATCAATAGAAAACTTCCACTCAAGCTCTAAAGTATTGTGCTCAATTACCATTTCCTCTCCTCTGTGAAAATATTATTATGTGTGTTAGCTAATATTTTTCTGCAAGTGATAAGGTCTTGAACGGATATATCTAACGTATCTATTTTTTTATTTTTTTTCTAAACATATCTTTAAACTGAGCACTTTGGTAGGAGTTTTCATGGATATTCTTTATTATTTATCACATACTCCACGTATTTACCCAGTATTTTTTGCCACATACATAAGCTATTTTTTTTTTCAATAAATTGAAATTTGAATAAATAACAATTCTCAACTAATGATATGATATATACATAAAGTCATTAACCATTTTTGAACAACGGTGGAATGTGAATACTCCCAAATCAAGAAATTCGTCACAACTTTTTAGTTTTGTCAATCAAATAAATAGTTCCAACTAATGACTACTAGATGAAAATAAGATTAAATAAACATAAAACCTTATTAAAAGGTGTTAATTTTGTTCCAAATGATGATGTTTGGTTTTGAATTACAGAAATGAGACACATTCTTGTATATTTTTACTTTATTTTGCAAGACTTTTTGTACATTTGAAAATAAAAAATGCGTAACCCATTTTTCTTTTTATTACTTCATACAAAATTTTCAAACTTATTACAATTTTCAATTTAGATGATATGACTTTATTTTTAGTTTGATGAATTCATCAGGCAGCAACACCCAAAATAGACCAAAAATCAACTTTCAACAGAATGGTTGCTTTAAACAAATGATTTCCTTTAGAAAGTTCAGGTTACTCTCTAGTCCATTGTCACTATTATTAATAATTAAACCATCGAGGAGTGCGGCAGAGATGAATACGTGATCTCTTTATTCTTAATCAGAGATATAGGGTTTGAGTTTTGATATGAGAAAGTTTTGATAAGAAATATTTTCTTCTTTAATGTGTTTTATGCAACAAGAATGTGAGCGTGAATAAAGTTTCACATTAGGTTATGGTGCAGTGGTGGAACTGTTTCACCCTTAACCAAATATTTCGATTTGAGCCTGGGTATGAAGAATCTTGTTGAGAGTGTCATCTCCGAATGGACCTGCCAAACCATTATACCAAAAATTCTAATGGGAGGTTGATTGAGTAAACAAATTATACAATAGAATATAATACAATTTTTCTTAAAGAGTAGGGATATCAATTCATACTTGATGAGTATATATTTTCAACAGAAGAATAGGAGTACCATGGAATATATATTTTCAACAGATAATAGTAGTATCGTTAGTACGGACACACTGCACGTAGATTGAGTAAATATGGGAGGATCCCGTTTAAGATATAGGTTCGTTTGAATTTAATATTTTGATATAGCGTATAAATTGATATGTGAAAAATTATTAAATGTGTAATAAATAGTAGATATAAATCTATATTTGAATTCAACACTAAAAACTTTAAAAAATAAATTCATTTAATTTAAATTCTGAATTTATTTATGCCAATAAAAATTGTAATGTAATGGATCCTTTTATTTATCTTTTACTAGAAGCGTCTTGGTTTGAACCTGAATACAACAAAAATTATGTTAAAAAACAATTTCCTTCATATATAAATTTTGCAGAATTCAAATTAATCAACATATTAATTTAAATATTATTGAGAAACCAAAAAGACAAGAAATGTGCAAAAGCATTGGAATGCGCGATACATTTAGGTTAATTAGATATGTTTATTTCAGGATAATATTAATATTAATAACATTAACTAACTTAAACCATTTATATGAAATAATAAATTGAGAGAAGTATTGAAAACACGTTTAAATTTGGTGTGAATTATTAATTTTATTTCTGTTGGCTCCACTTTTTTCTTTCAAAATGCATAATGAGCCATTGAAATTTTTTTAATACCAAAACGGACAACTCGCTGCCCCAGCAGCGAGATCCTTTCTCAATTGTAACACCATTAGTGGCGTCTAAAATTCAATCTTTCTCTTATATTGAATAATAATTTGCTTCATATACAATTTGTGGTTTGATTTTTTTTTAATTAAAACCGAAAATTGTTATTATTGGGAATATAAATTATAATATAACATAAAAAAAATTAGTTACCAAAAAAATTGACTATTAATATATTGTAACATTATTACGGAGAAGGAATTTTATAAAAAAGATTTAAAGTTTGACTATTAACCCAAAAAACCGTGATTGGGAAGAAAACAAATGCATAAAATTCTTTTTTTAAAGAAATTGCTGCCATGGCAGCGATTTAAGAATGATTTTTTTTTTTTTAAAAAAAATGAAATCGCTGCCCCCGCAGCGAGAAAAGATCGAAGAAAGGATCTCGCTGCCATCAACGAGTTGTCCATTTTGGTATAAAAGAAAATTCGGTGTCCATTTATACATTTTAAAAGAAAAAAGATACCCTTTGGACTTTCAGATTCTCTTAAAAACACTCTTTTTAGCTGATTAACTGAACTTAAATACATTTTGATCTCATAAAATGAGTGAAATACATCCCTAATTCAACACTTCTCTTAGCTTTTTCTTAAGAATTTCATGCTCTTATAAGAATTTGAAACCACTTGCTATGTCATGTAACATATCGGAGGTGTATATAAGTTTAGTTAATCAAGTAGAGAGGTGTTTTAAAGACTGTCAATAATTCATAGATGAATTAATAATTTGTGTCAAGTTCAATAATGTTTCAATACTCTCTCTAATGAATATGGATGCCCGACGCTAGCTTGTCAAACCTTTTAAACTATCTTTCTAAGGACCAACAATATATAAAGATGTAAAATTTAAACAAAAAATACTACTATAAATTATAACTTTCTTATATCACTATGATGAAATAATATATTTTTTAAAATACTAATCAGAATTTATATTATTTGACTCTCAAATTCTGATTAGCTTGAAACTATTTATCCAAGAACCAACAGTATCTATAGAATTATATAAAAAGTATTATCATAAATTATTATTTTCTTATATTAATATGATAAAAAAATATACAGCTTAAAATATTATTCAAAATTTATATTATTTAACTCTCGAATTCGGATTAGCTTGAAACAGCACGGGGTGTTTGCCCATCATTTGTAGCGTAGTTGCATAGGGCAGTCAGCAAATATGGCTAAAACTGTTTTTATTAGTCTATCCATAACTTTGTTGACTATCCAAACCTTTGACTTGACTTACTTAGTCATACATATTGACTTTTCTGAATTACCTTCTTAAAATCTCAACCATAAAACGTAGGTTGCAGTCATTTTGTGTTGTCATTTACTTTACTAGGTGGTGGGTTGATGCCTCCGTCAATCGGTTGTAGTCGATAAAGGTCGTAAAATATAAGAATATAATAATAGTTATTTAGTTGTAATCTTTGGTTTATTGAAATTTTTATTTCACTGATTATTTTTAATTTAAGATCACAAAATTTAATTATTTTTTTTAAAAAAAATAATTAAAAAAATAATAAAAAATAAAAATAAAAATATATATATATATATATATATATATTAAGTCAAAATTAAATAA